AGTAAAAAAATCTACAACCACTGTAGAAGACACACCGTTTTTAGACCCCAAATTTTTCAAAAAGGGGTGCATCTTATACATGGGGAAATACAGTAAATCTTTCATTTTCTTCTGTTGGGTAGAACCAGACAGCCAACAGGCAGAGAAAAGCAATTTCTTATAATACAAATGTCTCTTTATAAATCACATAGTTTAAATAATAAAATTTGAATAGATTACAACATGGATTTTTTCATGGGTGCTACTCCATTTTGACGTGGAAGAACATCTTTGTTTACCCATTTTTAACTGATGTTTTTGTAATCTCCCAGATGAATGAGAAATCAGGTAGTTTGAATTGGTCATGAAGGCTAGATTCAAAACCCAAATACACCTGGGGATCGAGGCAGGGCCAAAAACGTGTGTGGAAGCTGCCACAGAAAGAGCCTCAGCTTTTCCTGACCTTTGCATGTCTGGACGCTGCCTTTCTGAAGCATTTTTCATGAATGATTCACAGCCTGCAGGGCCCGAGAGGGACCTACGTGCCCTGGATGGCGCTCAGACACTGGGGCTTTCCACTGAAGGAGCAGACGCCATGACCTGCAAGGGGTAACAGCAAGCAGCATTTTCCTTGGGAAGATGGTTTGGTATCTTCTATTCGTCCCTCTGTATCTTGTATTTTTCAGCTGCGCCCTGTCACAGGAGGCTGACCTATATGGATTATTAGGGGTTGGTTCTCAAACTTTTGGGTCTCAGAATACTCACATGCTGAACAACTGTTAATTCTAAATAGCTTCTTTTGTGGGTTACGTCTATTGCTATTTACTGTCGTAGAAATTAAACCTGAGAAATGTTAAAATATTTACTCATTCACCTAAAATAACAGTAATAAACCCACCACGTGTTAAAATTAATAACATACTTTTTAATTAAAAACAACAACAACATTGCTTTCCATGTTTGTTAATCTCTTTACTTTCTGAATGAGCATTTCACATCTGCTTGTGCATTCAGTCTGTTGAAACATCACAGGGCCACTCCACTGTTCATTACAGAGAGAATGAAAGTGAAAAAGGCAAATAACATCTGTGTTGTTATGAAAATACTTTTGACTGCAAGGATCCCCTGAAAAGGCCTTGGAAACCCCCAAGCGTTGCTGGCCACACCCAATACAAACCCTGAGACCTCTGAATCCCTCTGGGTCCAGCCAATGGGAACCAGGACAAGAGACTGGAGTGATGACAGACGGCGCCATCAGAACATGGCTCAGCCCCTGTAGGGCTGCCTGTACTGGGCTGGCTTTGTCTCTTGAAAACAGAGGAAGGGCTTCTCTCAAGTATGGATTCCAGTTCCTTTTCTCCTCATCCCTCTGGACCTCAGGGTGACACATCTTTTGAGTTGTTACATTATCTTTCTTAGTTTTTCTACACTCTGTGCACACCTTTGTAAATAAAAACTCCTGAATTTACCTTCATTTCATACCATTACACATAAACAAAACAAAACTGCAACAAACACAGAGCCTTCTTCTAAGCCGGTGGCTCTCAAAGCATGGTCCCTGAAGCATCAGCATTAGTATTACCAGGGAACTCATTAGAATTCAAAATTTTTTACCATACTCCAGACCAGAGGTTGGCAAACTTTTGAGATGACGAGCCAATCCTGTCCCTTACAACAATTTAAAAATTATTCGAGAGCCATAAAACAAATGAAATTACCATTATGTGAATAATAGCCTTTAAAAATTTTATAAATGAAATTATGATAGTTTTATTTTCATTTTCAATTTTACTTCAGAGCCACATGTACGTACCCAAAGAGCTGCATGTGGCTCGCGAGCCAGTTTTCCGACCCCTGCTCCAGACTGACTGAATCAAAATTCCAGGATGGGGCCCAACAATCTGTGTTTCAACAAGCCTCTCAGGTGATTTCAATGCATTTTAAATTGTGATCCAGTTTGAAAACGAACACTGCGCAAACAAGGTAATTAATAATAGTGCCCTGGTAAATTTAGAAACTGTTGTTACATTAGCCCTTAGTTAGTAACAGCTAATGGGAATAAACATTTACATGGTGCCAGGCACTGTTCAAAACACTTGACATATTAACTCATTTACAGCAACCTTAGAGTGTAGTAATAACTATTAGTACACCAATTTTTGATATGCCAAAAAAAATTACACATAGAGAGGATAAGTACCTGGGCCTAAGGACACAGCTAGTTAAGTGGCAGAGCTAGGTTCCAACAAGAGCAATCTAGTGCCACTGTCCGCGCTCCCAACCACAACACAACACAATAAGGCCCCAGAGCAGTAACAAAGGTTGGAGGGAACTCAGGTCTCCCAACAATGGAGAGGTGGAGGGTCCCTTCCGCCATTCTGCCCAGCTAGGATAATTGTCTATACTGTTTCCTAGCACTGGGAGAACTGAGGATGAGCCCCTTCTAGGAAAGAGCTGGAATGGTTGAGTCCTCACTCAAGTAGACTAGATAGGCTTTTTTGAACCTGGTTAAGAGAGAATGCGAGGGATTTACCAGTAGCTTGTGAGGGACATAGTTTGGGGGTTCTGTCCTACACTTAAATGTGTTGTCCCAGGCTTGAATTACATGAAACAGTTCTGCTGTGCTCCCCTTATGCCTCTAACCCAGTTTTCACCTTATGTTTTAGGTTGACTTTTCATATGAATTCCTCTCTAAAGTTATGATTACCCCCAAGCTTCCTGAGATCAAGGCATCCCTTTCACATTAGCTCCTTTCTCCTTTGCACATGAAAAACCTACTTCTCTGCATCTTGCTTGTTAGACCTCAGGGTGGTGAAAAAGTGAATGACTACAATGACTGAGTAACAAGATTTCATAGAAATGGATAGAATCAGAAATAATTAAACTTAACATACAATTTGTTGTGATCAAGTATGGTGGAAGTAAAATGGAAATTTAACTCCAAAAAAGAAAATGGAATGATGTAAAATTTCAAAGTTTGTTTGCATCTTTTAAAAAATGGATGACGGAAGTATCAAAGCAATCTTTAGATTCTGTTGGGTAAGTTAAAAAACTGTTGTAACAGTTTTATTTTAAAAAGTCAATATTTACAGTATGCTAAAAATTGCATCCTTTTCAGCTATTTTAACTTATGAAAAATTGTAGATGTCAAACTGAAAATGTGCAAAGGGGTACATAATGTTTAAAAATAGTTTGTGGATATGCAAGCAAAAACGTTTGCAGATCACTTGTTTGTGGTTATCTGTTTAATTTCTGACCACCATAGGAATTTGACTGTCAACTTTCTATAAAGTAGGGGCAGATGAGCTGTGGGGACTTCCATATGATACACAAGTAACCAACCCAACAGGGCATGCACTGAACTTTGGTGCTTGCTTCCACGTCTGAGAGATGGTCCCTGTGGTGATTCTGCCAGTCGGAGTAATCGTCCTCCTTACCATGAGCCTCCCTATTTCCTGGGTTCTCTGCACACCTCTCCTGAAAGACACAGGGAGTTGCGTAGGTGAGCCTTAGGTGAGAAAGTATTAATCTAGTTCAAAATTTTTAAGAACTAGTAGTCCCTTGCACTATATCCTGTAACAAGTCCCTGTGCCAACTTACTGTCTGTAAACATGATTTTCATCTGGCTTTCTGAAATGTTGACAAGAATTACAACTACTTTATACAGCTTTCTCCAAAATGTCCCAGTATGGGACACTTTCCCTTCTTGAAACAGTTAAAAAAAAAATGTGCTTAATTAAACCAAAACACACACCACACATACACCAAACATAAAGACAAAAAGCCCCACAAAACCCCCCAAGAACAGTAACTGTCCCTCCAACACACTGAGAAAAGATCTGTAAAAAATGATTTCATTGTAACTAAAGGGAGATAATCTGTTCCCTTTGAGAAGACTTTTGTGTGACATCTTTAGGTAAAGGTAATATGTGTAAACATATTTATACAGATACAGAGAGCTAAACACTCTCCTTTCATTTCTCTGTTCATTCTACTCCTACAATATAGACCACATCTATTTGTGTTTCTTTTTTGTGTATGTCTGTTTGGAGAAGACGAATTTTTATACATCTGCATATTGAATGAAATCTAAATCCTCTTTAATATAGCATGAAGAAAAGGAAGACTGACCAGTGCCAATTTAGTTTCAGCCATTTTATGTAGGAATCCAAAAGCATCAAATTTCCTTGCACTCTGGGAACAATATATAGCATGAACAAAAGGTTATAGAGGGAAGAAAATGTAATTGATTCTGAAGAGCGTGAACATCTGCAAAGAATGAATTGTAAGGGAAAATGATCTCCGAGGGTCCTACTTATGATGAAACAGTTTCTAGTTACTCGTGTCAGAGAAACGACCTCCTGCCCTACACTCGCCTCTCAAAGTCCAATCTCCTGGGCAGAGCAAGGCTGCAGAAGCTAGTTTCTACAACATGGAAACAAACAGAAACAGGCATAAAAGACTTCACAAAACTAAATTTGCCCAGTGGTGCTGAGCTTATATGGCCTTAGGGGAAAAGTCAGAAAAACTATATTCTGGTCCAAATTCTGTCGTTCAATGAAAGGTGACGGTGGCCAAACCAGTTTATCTCTCTGGGCCTCAAGTTCCTCAGCCTTTCCATGGGAGGGTGGGACTAGATCAGAGGTCAGCAAACTTTTGAGACCGAAGAGCCGCCAGGGGTCAGCAAACTGCGGCTTGTGAGCCGCAGGCTCTGAAGTTGAAAAAAAAATAAAACTATCATAGTTTCATTTGTAAAATTTTTAAAGAATATTACTCACATAATGGTGATTATGTAAAAATATATTTATGGCTCTCAAATAATTTTTAAATTGTTGTGAGGGACAGGATTGGCTCTTCCAGGGGTCAGCGAACTTTTGAGACGGAACGTACTCTACGAGCCGCATGTGGCTCGCGAGCTGCAGTTTGCCGACCCCTGGACCAGATGACAGAAAAGATTTTAGAAGTCTCTTGGGCCTCAGACTTTCCATTTTAGATAGGAAGAGCAAAAATTCTAACACAAGTGATTTAAGAACATCAACATTTATTTAACATGATAAAAAAGAAATGAGATATGAACATTTGCATTTAAACAATAGTAAGTAGCCTTTAATACATTACATGTGCTCATTGTATAATATATACACAATGAACATAATTACATTTGTACACAAACTAAGTACTGGGTTTGAAAACCTGCTTATTGCTGTACACATCTATTCCAATGAAGTATAAGCCCAGTATACTTCAAAATACCTACATTTTAAATTGTTTTTCAAGAAGTAAGCGGTAACATTTGTGTTTAAGCTGACAAGAGGGTGGCAGTAACTGCTGACATTGCAATCTGACGGAAAAATAATTATAGCAGAAAACAGGACATACTTCACTTAGCAATAATAAAATGGCACATTTTAAATATATATATATATATATATATAAAATTTTTACAAATCAAGTATGAAACAAAGCACTGCAGTAGCCAAAATGGGAACAACAGCAACAACAACAACAAAAAAAAAAAAGAAAAAAAAAAGGAAAAGAAGTTTCATTGGAAATAACTAAATTGATGTACTAAAGAGCAAAAAGAAATATAATTCCACTGAGGCTTTCGAAACATCAAAATCTGGAGATGAGCAATTATGTAAGCTCTCGCTGTAGACTGCACAGGAAAAAGCACCTTTACTTATGTGCTCTGAAATCATAGCAGCAAGCTGGTGTCAGAAGAATAACCTTGAGATTACGGAGTGTACATATGGGCCATTAAAGCTGTTTTGGAATAAACATTTTCCAGAAGTGATAAAAGGATGCTCTGTGACCAAAAGCATCAGAACTATGAATTTCATAGATTTAAAATATACTGTACAATATCTTCTCACATTGCCGGAGGTCATGTCCTTCGGTGTGAATGGTTTCACCGGAAGTCAGTCAGCAGAGCTGAAAAATAAAGAGGGAAATTTACTCTGACACCTGTGAGTTAATGAATGACCATTTCCTAAAGTAACCAAGGGTGATGTTCTGTAACAATAGAACTGACAAGCATAGCCATGAAAACCCTAAAATGTAATACAATTACAGGATATTTTCTCTTCATTTCCATAAGCTTAATTCACAAAGCAAAGAAACATAATTCAATTAAATATCAATTCAGAATGTAAAGAAATGTACCCACATTTGTGGCTGTATCCAAAAGATCAACAAAATGAGCAAAGATTTGCGTAACTTCACTAAAACATGTAATAATATATTGAGCTGCCTACACAGCAGTGTCATTTGTAAAACTTTCCTAAGTTCTGCCAAAGCTACTCGTACAGAAAGATGACATATGCACAACAGAAAGATGTAAAATAATACAAGTTTGAGTGTCGCTAGTTGTTTGTGGTGGCTGCGTGCCATAAGACTGGAAAATATCTGGTAATAACTGTACCTCATTCCAGTATGTAATGCCACTAGCTCTTGGAGTAAAAGTAAAACAGAACAAAATCCAATAATAACAACTTAAAGAACCTGGAAATGTACTTGAGTTTTCACTGTGAACATTTTTTATTATCAGAATAGTCTATGTACAATGAATTGCAACCTGTTTATTGAACCAAAAGGTAGGGAGAGTAGCTTTTAATGTACATTTTCCCACTAAGACAGACAGATGCCATTGATCAACTCTTTGCACGGGAGGAATCAAATGAGCATAATGTTTATGTCTGGTGTTATTCTGTTACTAGTGGCAATTGTCACTTCTGAACATATTAAGTTAAAAGTCTAAATACATGAGTGACAGAGGTACTACATAGGTAAGACTGTAACAAATAGGTTGTTTGTAACTCCAGAGAGGATGTCAGTCCTGCATAGATACCAACTGACAGCAAACAAAGGCTTCTTCTAGGCTCCAAGTAGACATAATCTCAAATAAAAGTTACAAATGTGACAAGACAGTGAAACATAAATCCTTCTGGCTGAAAGGAAGGGCACGGATTATAGCTGCTATAAAAAGGTGTGAATGGAAGTGGATTATAGAACATAAGCAATACTGGATAAACGTAGTCAAGTCAGTACTTGTACTCATTTATTCTGAGAATCTAAAAATCAAAGAATGTGTTAGTAACAATGCTCATAATGTCTCCAGGTGTTTTCGCTGCTTATAATTGTGTAACAGAAATTGGGGGTAATCTTAAGGGACAAAACATTACTAGATCTGGCAGATACTGTGAGGAAAAAATGCAGAAAAAGGCTTAAAATGCACAAGTCTGTACCTCACAGCTTTTCTGAAAACTTAACAAAAGTGTATATCTATATATACAAAAGCACAGGTAGAATTTAGCAATTGTTTAAAAGTAAAACCTTAAGAAATTATTCTCAGTACTGAAACCGTGGTCTAAGGAACATTATTCAACAAAGGTTTTCTTCTTGTCCCTGTCCCCATGGCGTGGTTTTTTTTAGTAGCTATCTCCCTGACTTAAAAAAAAAATTATTTAGAAATATTTTCTGATAGATATTAAAGATTTTAATATTCCATCTAGCTGGCTATACCATACACATTTCTTTGTCCTTTAAAACAATTAAACTCCCAATGTGGTAGATATGTCACACTAACTCTAAAAAGCATTACTCAATCAACATGTAATGACTTAAACAGAATTCTCAGATCTAACTATGGAAAGAAACATTAAGTTGGGAGCACAGCTGCAAAACACCGTGAGGCTTGTCTTGGCATAGGCCGTACGCTCCAAGTTTTGCTGTTTTTACAGATGATGAAATAAGAGACAGAGAAATGCTGTCACATAGCAAATCACTGGAAGCGTGAGTTACTGCCCATGGTTTAAAACACATGGCCTACTTGCACTGCCAACTATCCCTAACCCACAGTCCAGAATTAATCTCAGTCTTTATTCACTAAACCAACAAATGAATAAAATTCCAGTCAGAAACGGTAAGGATAAAGCAAAGGGAAACAACGTACTTTTCCGGAGACTACACACACATGAAATGCGATCCTTCTGTGAGCTGCGGCTGAGTGGATGGAACCGGTGATGCTGAGCACTCGGGAGA